TCTGTCTCTCTCTCTCTCTCACTCGCTCGGCGCGTCGACAATTGCCGATCGCGTGGCTCACATGGATTGACCGAGCTGGCTGATGCGTGCATGGGGGGGAAGGGGGGAGAATCCTCGTGCAAGCCCGTCACCAAATTCGCATCACTGATACCAATGATGTCAAAACCGAACAAGCTGCGGACAAGCGTAACTTGTAAATATCGGAGATCAACTGTTTATCAGCTCATAGACAATTAATATGACGAGATACCCGCGTGTACTTCTCTTTCGTCTTTGCGTACAATTGCGATCAATAAAAAATTTTCACGAATTGTTCGGTTTTGACATCATTGGTATACGTGTGTATGTGTGTGTGTGTATGTGTACACATACACATACAATTGCGATATACACTTATCATGTTAGCATTAATCATTTTTATTCATGCTAAAAGAAATAAGTATGATTATGTAAAGAATTTGTCTACGTATTATTATACATTCTACATAGTTTTCCCTGTGATAGCAGAAATAACACACTTGAACAACCTCTACGCTCATATCACAAAGCCTGATCCACTGCGCTATGAAGCAAATTGGTAATTCTTCTGCTATAACGACATTAACAGAAAAGACTAAACTTCAAACTGCATTTCTCAAAAACGTTTAAGATTTGCACCGTTTTTGGATAACATTTGTTACTATTACATCAATATTATACTTTTCTAAAAGCAAAATCGCGCGGTGATTTCAAGGATGAAGATTCCTCTTGTGTGAGATATTAATTATTCATTCTTTATTAATGGGAAAAGGTTTTCCTTTGGTTTAAATGTTCAAGAAAAGTAATTTATTCTCTGAGAATCTTTCAATTTTTATGTTCGTGAAAAGTTTATAAGATTCGTAAAGAAAGAGAATTATTTTACTACCTACCTGTTCAAGAGTTGCGCATAAGGGATATTTTAACAAATCTGAATCTGAATCAGTCAACAAATTAAATTTCTCATTCAAAGAAGCATATGTAGGCATAAGTAAGATAGAAGCATATGTAAGCATAAGTAAGATAAGTATAAATAATAAATTAAATATTATTCTCTGAATATAATAATAAATAAATGTTTTTTCTTTAGCTGAATCATTGAAGTAAATATTCTATTATAAATTGACTTTCCGGATTACAATATTAATTTGATTTTTCAGAATATGCTTCCAAATTGACTCCTCGGAATACGCTATTAAATTGACTTTTCGGAGTACACTTTTAAATTGACTCTTCTTATTACACATTTTTTAGTTGACTCTGTGGAGTACATATTTTTTAATTAACTCTTCGGAGAGAAGAGAAGAGAAACATTTTATATTTTATTTAAAAAATTTTAATTTTTGCAGAAAACTGATTGATGAAGAAAAAAATTAATTCACGACCTGAACGAAGATCTTAAAAAAATTACTGCAAGAAATGAAGTTGTTGTTATTATATACCATATTGTACAATATTAAAACATACGCGCAATAATTATCTATAATTTGCATATATGGGCGTTTATATAATTATAAGTAATTTAAAAGTCATGACAAATTAATGTGGCCGCGCGTTATCTCTGTCGCGTCATTGCTAGAAATCATCCGAACTCTCGAAATTATTTTCTTCCCGAATTATGAATATAAAACAATGTGGAAAGGAAAACAAGGGGATGAAAACGGGGGACGGCGACGTCTGCCTTACGATAATATCGCTGCTGGCTCGCTTCGTCGCGATTGTTTATTCGCTGGTGGTGAGACAAAGACTGTTGAAAATTGTTACAAATTAAGTTGTAAGTCTCTCTGTCACGTGATCAGCCACGCACAACTCACATGTCTCGGTCGTATTATTTGATTTCTTAGATCGACAACATCGAGATGTGTTATACTACGTTTCATTTCAATATATGTATCTCGTAAATGCTTATAATGTTTATGTTGTCAAGTAATCGCTCGCTAAAAAGAGAAAGTGTGTGCCTAGTGCCTGCTGATCACGTATCCTTCTTATATGACTTATAATATCATTTCTCTGTTTATATCAATCAACGAATCAGCTGTCAGCACGCTCTATCGTTCTCGAATATTCCATCTGTCTAATCAAGGCAAACACTCTATTATTCTTATTCACGATCAAACAACAATTCCGATAGCCAATCGTAGCATTCCGCGAACGATCGAATTCAGTATAAAATGCCTGCTGACAGTTCTTTCCCCGAATATTTCGACTAGTACGGTTTGAGTCACTCGGTACTCTACATCGAAGATATTTCGTCTCGATTGTCAGCTCAGCTCTGTCAATCATAAGCACACGTCTGGTGCATCGTGATATTACTCAGTTACACTCATTCTATCAGTTCAGTATTGTTCGTTCTTCACCGCAAGAGCATTTTTGCTCACATCAGTGAAGAATTCTCTAACTCGAGCTCAAGCTCTTTCGTTCATTAAATTCTACTTCGCGCCGGTATCACAGCCGTCCGTCGATCACGCTCGCGAAACTTCTTTCGCCTCGCGACAAGATTTCCGACGTTCGCGCTCAAGATCTCCTTCGCGTGGACACTCATTGGGAGAGTCCATCAAGATTTCCGTCGCGGTAAACTGGCGATTAAACGGGGTTCAGAAGATCTCCGCTTCCTATTCAAGGCGTGATCCCTGGCTGTGCAATTGTTACTTAGTAACTAATAAAGACATTATATTTGTTGGTTCAATTCAATCAAGTCTAGCTTCATACACATACACAATCACACTCACACGTCCATACCTCAAGATCAATCTTCCAGCGAAAGTGGGCGCGCAGCACGTTTTTTCCAGATTCTACATCAGAGTCGGATCCGTGCAATTGTCGGAAAACATCTTAACCGACAGATAATCTCAAACAAAGACCGATTCTTCGTTTTTATCTAACTAATCTCGCTCGCTCGTGAATATAGCACAGAACAGAACCAAATAATTATGGACATAGCACGGAATAGTACCAACAAATCGTGGACATTGGCTTAGTAGTTCATATCCATGAAAAATGGACCCAGTTGGCGCTTCGAATCAGCCAACTTTTCCATAACGCTGTAAATGCAGCCAAGCCCGCTCTCAGGCTTCTCTCTGTACAAACATGGACATGGAAGAGGAAGAAGGAGATGGAGACGATGAAATTTATAATGCAAATACAGATACCAAACCAAATAAAGTAACACTTACTATCATCTTGCGTTTTAATGATATTGTTCACGCTATTTGTTAACATAATTTCTTATTTTTCAGGCATCTATCCCCCTTCTAGCGGAAGATGATACAGATGCAGAGGCAGAAGTATTAAATGAATTAAATCTCCTCACAGAAATTGAAGAATCGCCACCTGGTTCTATCCATCTGGAAATGAATTCTCCAAAGGGGTTTATAAATCTCTTTTTATTCGTGTACTTTAAGATAAAATATAAACCTATTACAATAATAGATATTTTGTAATATTGTCACATATAATCACATAATCTAATTATGCCTGTAGGTTTATTATATACAGGATTACAACAAGATCCAAGACGCCCAAATAATAAAGAAGGCGGTGACTCCACGCTGGAATTAGGAGAATTAGAACAATTATGTGTTAATAATGATGCAGAAATATCGTACGATGTAAGTTCCAAGAATTTTCTTCTGTATTTCAGTCGAGTCGCTTTTTCAGCTATGTAAGAGTTACAGTTTGAATGAATACAGTTTGATCTCTTCGAACGTTTCGATAATCTCTGCGAGCATCATGGATGTGAAAAGATATCTACTACATGGGCTGAAAAGTCTTTGGCCTGACATATAGATGGCGCCACAAACTAAAAATCCTTATATTTCCTATAGAGTACCAACCTTAACTTAGATGCTGTAAAAATTTCATGATATTTCGTTGACTCGTGTACAAGTTATAGCTTTCGAAGTGACGTTACCTCTGAATTTATCTTTACTATGGAAAAAAGTGAATTTCGTGTTTTGATTAAACATTGCTTCCTGATGGGAAAAAACACTGTTGAAGCAAAGGCATGGCTTGATAAATGTTACGGCACATCTGCCCTACCGAATTCAACCATCAAATATTGGTTTGCTGAGTTTCGTCGTAACCGTACGAGCACAAATGATGCACCACGTTCAGGAAGGCCAAATGAGGCAGTTACTCCAGAAAACATCCAGAAAATCAGTGAAATCGTGTTGAATGACCGCAAAATGAAATTGAGTGAGCTAGCTAACATCATAGGCATCTCAAAGGAACGCGTTGGTCATATCATTCATGAATATTTACATATGAAAAAGCTTTGCGCGCGTTGGGTGCTGCGTTTTTTGACAATTGAGCAAACGTGTGAGCGGAACGTGTTCGACTTTCAAAGCAAAATCTGGCCCTGTTTAACCGTAATAAGAAGGAGTTTTTGCGTCGATTTGTCACAATGGATGAAACATGGATCCATCACTACACACCGGAGTCCAATCGGCAGTCAGCGGAGTGGTTATTGCCTGGTGAAAGCCGTCCGAAGCGCCCGAAGACACAACAATCAGCCGGCAAGGTTTTGGCCAGTATTTTTTGGGATGTGCATAACATAATATTCATTGATTATCTTGAACATGGTAAAACTATCAATAAAGAATATTACTGTACATTACTGGATCGATTGAACGACGAGGTCAAGGTCAAACAGCCACATTTGGCAAAGAAAAAATTTTGTTTCACCAAGACAATGCTCCAGCTCACTCGGCTCGCGATACGACCGATAAATTAAAGAAATTGCGCTATGAATTGGTCTCGCATCCCCCGTATTCTCCAGACCTGGCCCCCAGCGACTATTTCCTTTTTCCCCGACTGAAGCAGTGGCTCACTGGTAAAAGATTTTACTCGAATGAGGAGGTCAAGTTGGAAACAAATGCCTATTTTGAGGGACTTGACACCGAGCACTATAAGACCGGCATCGAAATGTTAGCGGACCGTTACACTAAGTGCATTACTCTAAATGGAGATTATGTCGAGGAATAAAACACTTTTTTCATTAAAAAAATCGTTTTTTCATTGTTAAGCCAAAGACTTTTCAGCCCATGTAGTACATTGGGCGACTGCTACTATTGCGTAAGCGGATGTCCCGAGCCGTGGTCCGATCACACAAAATGCTGCATAGAAATGGGTCTAGGTGAGTGGAATGTTATTGATACGTGGTTGGCAGATATCTTCAAATCTGGTGCTAAATTAATGCTGTACGTTTCTCATCTTAACAGCTATGATCAAAGCGATCAAACAATTCGACATCGAAAGAAGAGAAGGTGTGAATGAGAATAGGTGTGCATACGGGCACCGTGCTCTGCAGGATCGTGGGTACGAAATGATTCAAGTTCAATGTCTGGTCGAACGATGTGACATTGGCGAATAAATTTGAGAGCGGGAAACGGGAAAATCCGGTCGTGTACACTTGAATGAGAATACCCTAAGATTTCTGGATGACCACATCATGGAATATATTTTTTCAATATATTTTATGTAATATGATTTTTCTTTTACCTATTATATAAAAATAATATATTTTAATAAGAATCATATAACTTCTAGATGCTGTTACATATATTGTTAATATAATTTAATAAAGTATAATAATGAACAATATATTTGCTTATTTTTTAACTACATAAATACAATCCATAAATTTTAATAAAAACTATATTCTTTTTCTTTTTTCTTTCTTTCAAGAATTTATCGTTAACAACTGTTCGTAAGTATCAGTGACATTATTTGATCACGTATAATTAATATAGTAAAATTTCTTTAACCCTTTGATGCATGGTGGTAACCTACGTTTACCTACCTATTAATTATACGTTCTTCTTTACTATTTGGCAGTTTATTATCCAACTAACACATTTAGACTGGTTGTTTTGTATTTTACCGCTATCTTAGGGATAGAATAATATAAAAAATAGTTTAGGACTTATTATTTATTGCAAGTTTTATAAATAAACAAAGAGCAGAAAAACTCATTTTTTGCTGACCTCGGATTCGTGATCAGCGACCCAAAAAACTATTGTATATCAAATTTCATAAATAATGGATTAACCGAAAAATGTATGTTTCATATACATAAAACATGCTCAAGCCCCAGACAGCATTTGTGTGCCGTTAATGTATGACTAAGGACATTTGGTTCGTACGAGTCGTATGGATCAATGTTAGCCGATGGTAATGTCCAACAATGGATCATGCCATCTAAACCACCGCTGTAACATCAATTGCCCATACTACACATGGCTAGACACAATATAGGTCCAGTGTATGATCTGAATGTGTAAAGTGTTTCTACATCTAACGAAGCTGACCTGAAAGAATACGGTACAGTCTTATGAAGATTCCACTTCAGTGTGATCATCGCTTGCGGTAATAAGAACCGGATCTGCGGGGTGGAAGACGAGTGCTCTAACAGCGTCAAAATGCGAACGTAACGTATATTTAGCGTTCCATATTTTTCTGAAGGTTTCCTTCGTGGTGGAAACCATCTGTGTCGCAAGAAATCATACGTTAAGAGTGTCAACAAACTGTAACTCTTACATAGCTGAAAAAGCGACTCGACTGAAATACAGGGGAAAATTCTTGGAACTTACATCGTACGATATTTCTGCATCATTGTTAACACTTAATTGTTCTAATTCTCCTAATCTCAGCGTGGAGTCACCGCCTTCTTTATTATTTGGGCGTCTTGGATCTTGTTGTAATCCTGTATATAATAAACCTAGGCATCATTAGATTATATGATTATATGTGATAATATTACAAAATATCTATTATTGTAATAGGTTTATATTTTATCTTAAAGTACACGAATAAATAGGGATTTATAAACCCCTTTGGAGAATTCATTTCCAGATGGATAGAACCAGGTGGCGATTCTTCAATTTCTGTGAGGAGATTTAATTCATTTAATACTTCTGCCTCTGCATCTGTATCAACATCTTCCGCTAGAAGAGGGATAGATGCCTGAAAAATAAGAAATTATGTTAATAAATAGCGTGAACAATATCATTAAAACGCAAGATGATAGTAAGCGTTACTTTATTTGGTTTGGTATCTGTATTTGCATTATAAATTTCATCGTCTCCATCTCCTTCTTCCTCTTCCATGTCCATGTCTGTATGTCTCAAAAATTCAAAATTCGCTATAACAGCTGCTTCTGTATCTAATATCATTGCTTCTGCTATAGAAGATGGCTGTTGCTGGAACAATAAATCATATATAAATGTATAACAGAATCGTAACTATCGTAATGCAGCTTAATTCTCTTAATTAAGTTCGTATTTTACCTTTTTCGGATGTCCTCCGGAGTATAAGACTTACATCGGATGATTCTTGTCTGTTCTATGTTCCCTCATTTCCATTTAATACTGGACTATTCATTTCATCTGAGTCTGTATTATAATATGTCCCACCGCGTATATTTCATTTCTCGCCTTTCGTTGTGAGTCACTGCGCAGGCGTGCTCCACAGGTGGAGTAGTGACTCTCATTCTTCTCGAGTCGGGATGCGTTCCGAAAGTTGCAAAAAAACGGTCACAAACCTTCATGCTCGCGAGTGTACACTTCTTGAACTTGAGTGGAGAGAGTTCAGCTGGAAAGAAGAAACCAGGGCGTGCAAACTCTTAGGCCCAGTTCCACAACTTGCATTAAACGGAGTTTAAAGCTAAACCGATGGGTAAAAGCAATAGTATATGCGCATATACTATTGCTTTTAACCATCGGTTTAGCTATAAACTCCGTTTAAAGCAAGTTGTGGAACTGGGCCGTATGGAGCGAAAATGATTAGCGTTAGCAGCGCTCTCTGAGATGGGACATGTGAGAAATCGGAACTAATTTGTGGCCGCCATATTGCTACAGTTGCGTTCGCTTTAATGCTTTAATGCTTTAAGCCTTCAATAAGAAAAAAAAAGTGTTACGAAGAAGAGGTGTTACGAGGAAGAAGCACGAGAAGAAACAGGTGCGAGAAGGAAAAACTTTTAGTATTACTGCCAGTAACGACAACCAAAGTGTAAGTTTTGTTTTTATATATTTTATTGTATTTATATATAAATATTATGCATTATGCATTATAATTGTCCACTTTTTACTAACAGAGACTAATAAGTAAAAATTAAAGTAAGCTTTGCAATATGTTAACATAGCAAGAGCAAGTTTGATAAAGTTTGTAGAAATTCTTAGCGATGCATGCCTGCATGAAGTTTGTGCTTAGTTTCTGCTGTTAATCTGCTGCTAAAAAATTTGATACACCTCGTGAACGAGCTATTTCAGCAGATTGATGACTGAAAACAAGAAGAATATGTTATGACTATCCTTGAACGTAATGTCAAATCATGTTATATTAGCTAGTTGCTTTTTGAACATGAGCTGCATGCAGGCATAGATAGCTAAAATTTCTTCATGGAATCTACTCTATATATATATATATATATATATAATTAATTTATGAAGATATTTATGTACTCTCTCTCTCTCCCTCCCTCCCTCTCTCTCTCCCTCTCTCTCTCCCTCCCTCCCTCCCTCCCTCCCTCCCTCTCCCTCTCTCTCTCCCTCTCCCCTCTCTCCCTCTCTTCCACTCTCTCTCCCTCTGCCCCTCTCTCCCCCCTCTCTCTCTCTCTCTCCCTCTCTCTCTCTCCCTCCTTCCCTCTCCCTCCCTCTCTCTCCCTCTCTCTCCCCCTCTCTCTCCCTCTCTCTCTCCCTCTCTCTCTCCCTCTCTCTCTCTCTCTCCCTCTCCCTCTCCCTCTCCCTCTCTCTCTCTCTCTCTCTCTCTCTCTCTCTCTCTCTCTCTCTCTCTCTCTCTCTCTCTCTCTTGCAGAAGGACTACAAGAAGACTTCAACAAGGGAAGAAGAGAAAACAAGAAAAAACAGTTACTCAAGAACCACCAAAATCTTTTCCCTGTTAGCGACAAATAACTTGTTTTATTTGAGTATGCATGATACTGTAATATTGTATACTGATGATGCAAATATCTGTTTAACTAAATACAGGTTTATTTTTTTTATAGGTCTCATAATATAACAGCGGGATCAAGATGGTACAAATATGTTGTGTACCAGGATGTTCGACAGGGAAGACAGCACCATCGCATAAATTCCCACGAAATGCTGAACGTAGGCTACAATGGTTCAAAAATTTGAAAATGGAGCCAGTGGAAGGGCCTGAGGAGAAAAAGTTATGAGTATGCTACAACCATTTTAGGAACAGCGATAATATACAATTTTATTACAAATTTCTTTTAATATTATAAAATTTAGTATTATTAACAAATTATTGTCCTTATATTTTTGTTTAAGGTATTAATATTTTCTTTATATATATATATTTACATTTTTTGCGTCAAATATATACATTTCACAGAATACACATTATTTTCTGCATTTTTACTTGGCACTAATATTCCTGGTATTTCCTATATATACTACACGCACATATGTGTTAATATATGTGCTATACATACACATTGACACATGACGCCATATTGAATTTTAATACCACCGAAGAAATATCCCATTTCAGAGAGCGCCACAAACGTTGGACACTAAATATACATGGGAGTTTAACAGCCCTGGAACAAACCCTATGAGCTGTATTCATAGTCCGGTCTTATATTTAAGATCGTCTTAAGTTCATCTTCAGATGCTATATAGATCATTTCATTGGCTACAGAATATCTGAACGTGAACTCAAGACGGTCTTAAATATAAGATCCGACTATGAATACAGCCCTATGTGAGGTGCTGAAAGCAGTTATAAATCTCTAGATTCTCTCTGTATACCCCGTGCGAATGGAAGTCCGCTCGCAGACTTTTCTTTAGCTCATTTTACATTAATCGCAAGCTTACAAACAAATTAACCAATCACAATCTAGTATCCTCCGACGGCGAGGGAAACAGCCGACCGTGATTGGTTAATTTACTTGCGATGTAAAATGAGCTGTTGGTGACTTTGATTAGAGAGAGTTCCGAGAAAGTGACGTAGTGATTTGACTCAACGGCGGGTCAGCCGTGTATTTAATTTCCTCAATGTGACTTATTTTCAAATAATACATTTGGTCGTCATTACGCGCGCGTAGCAAGGGACGGAAATTCTTCGATATTTTATACAATTTGCACTCCGTCGAGGCCGACGTTCATACCGTAGGAAAGTAATACGTTATGAGGGGATTATTTTTACGTGCATATATGTCTATGCCAACGTCAGACGCGAAGGCATACACGGGGCTGAGTGCGCGACGAACCTTCGTTCCTGCGTGCGTCTCCGCTTTTCTACTGCATCTCAGCGAGTGATGTCGACGCGACTTGTGCCACACGTCGTATACGTAGCAATCAGCGTATGTCAATCGCCGTACTCGCATCGGCATTGACGTTTCGTCGCAGTTGCACTGCAATTTCGTAGATACTCTGCTTTGTCCCTCACGAGCGTATATCTCGACCCATTTTTTCTTTTCATATCTCACGATCTAAACAAACGTGCCTCTGGCGATCCGCAATGGCGGAAACGAACGGGGCCGCAAATTTAAATACGAAAAACGGCAATTTCATTTGCGGTGTGGTGGAAGGTACGTAAAAGTGTCCAACCTGTATTTCTCACGAAAACGGTCGCTGAACGGTCGGATTCAGAGATTCAGAGACAATCGACAGACGCGATCTCTAATGACTTTTTCTCCCTTTTTGTATCATTCATAGGACACGTGACATATTTTTTCCTTTGCAGGCTTTTACGGCCGCCCATGGACCACAGAGCAACGAAAAGATCTCTTTCAGAAGTAAGTTCCATTTGGGAATGAATTTGTCTTGAAAAGGGATTAACAAAGTACTGATATTTCGGAAGAATGGTCACTATAAATATCTTCATTTTTATGTCTTTTAATTTCATGTTTCTTTTTTCAATATTTCTTTTATATCTCGCTCTACAATAGTAATTAAACTGTGGATATTATTAGATTAAAGAAATGGGGAATGGATTCCTACTTGTACGCTCCAAAAGATGATTACAAGCACCGAGCTTATTGGAGAGATTTGTACACCGTAGAGGAAGCTGAGCATCTAACTGGCCTGATCACAGCTGCTAGAGAATATGGCATAACATTTTATTATGCGTTATCTCCTGGATTAGATATTACATATTCCAGTTCAAAAGAAGTCACAGCTCTGAAAAGGAAACTGGAGCAAGTCAGTCAGTTTGGTTGTACAGCATTTGCACTGTTATTTGATGACATAGAACCAGAAATGAGTGAAGCTGATAAGGAAGTTTTTCAGTCATTTGCGCATGCTCAAGTATGTATAAAATGTTCACATGATAAATTTGTACAGCGGCACTAATAATAATATTAATGTATTAATAATTCCGAATGACTATCAGAATATATTTGGCATTTCATATGCTGAGCTTCATAATGTCTTTGATCATTTACAGGTCTCTGTCACAAATGATATTTTTCAACATCTGGGTCAACCTCGTTTTCTCCTATGTCCCACGCAATACTGTGCCACGCGCGCCATGCCGAACGTCGCGTCCTCGGAATATCTCAACACACTTGGCAGCAAGTTGGCTCAGGAAATTGACATTATGTGGACTGGACCTAAAGTCATATCCAGACTTTTAACTGTGGAATCTATCGAAGAAATCACAGAAGTGCTCAGGAGACCACCTGTTATCTGGGATAATTTACACGCCAATGATTATGATCAGAAGAGGGTGTTCCTTGGGCCATATTCTGGTCGCTCTCCCGATCTCATACCTAAGCTTAGAGGAGTCCTGACCAATCCAAATTGTGAATACGGAGCGAACTTTATAGCGATCCACACATTGGCTCAATGGAGCAGGTGCAACGTCGACGGGAAGAGGGACTTAAGTTTAAGTACGACTTTTATTCACTTTATAACCTTTTCCTCTAGCGCTTTTCACACGAGATGCACTTTTTGCCGCTCTGGTGAAGGCTTACTACAAGATAATCTGGCAATTAAGTATCGATGCTAAAAGTACATATACAAACGAACTAACAAATTATTTCACATTGTAGATGATACTGTATCAGCGGACATTAAATTGGAAACTGAGACAGAGGATGGTGTCCTCGGTGAGGACGTTCCGTCGACACTGTCACCAAACATGTACCATCCACGGCATGCCCTGAAAAACGCGATAAGCGAGTGGTTGCTGGAATTCAATAAGAAGAAAGCAGCCTGGGGAGTGATAGCCAAGCCGCAGCCATGTGTCGCATCGACGATACCTATTCCGATAATTCCTTCCGTCAATACGTGTATGAGTTTGACGTCGACGACGACGACGACGGTTCCTGCGGCCCCTACGCCTGTGGCGAATTCCAATCATCTTCAAGCGTTGGCCGAAGTCTGTTCCAGCGTAACGGGTAACGACAGTTTCGCTCAACCTTCGTCCGGTCCGGTGATGAACTCCTTGGTATCGGACATAAAAGTGGTCAGCGAGCCTGTACTGACTACATTACCCACCAATATGAGCAGCGAGACGCCGTCGACGGTCCTGTCTTCGATAGAACCCATGGACTGTAACACCACTCCGAACAATTCGCCGGCACACATAGCGAAAATCCCGACGGAAGATGACGCTATGGTAGATAATACTTCTGTAAGTCTTTAGAAATTTTTAAAGACTTCGTTATGCATGTATAATCGTGATTTTTATCCATCAGACGTGTAGCGAAGCGTCTGGGAGTATGCAGGTGGAAGTGGACAGCACCTCTCCCACGGTGAACGGCACGCAGATGATAATAGAAAACGACAGTGAAAACCACGAGAGTCCCGATAACGCGGATGCGGTACCCCAAGAGCCCGTGGACGTCGAGAAACAGCTGACGCACGAGGATCTGTCGTTGTTGTGCGATCTGTTCTACTTGCCGTTTGAACACGGCGGTCAAGGTGTTCAGCTGTTGCAGGAATTCAATTGGTTGAAGAGTAACGCTTACGTCGTTATGAAAAAGTCTAAAGAAGAGGAGTCCGCGTCTGAGTCAGATGTAAGTTACACGCATTTTAGACTGCGAATTAAGGGGAGAGTTACGTGCGGAAGGCCGTTTTCAAGGCTATTTTTACGAATTTTTTTAATAGAAGCGGTAAGATCAATGGACTTGAAATTTTCACAGTGTATTCATTAATGTTCAAAGTATAAGATAAATTTTATTGGATCACAAGAACCGACCTAATTTGTAATTATAGATAAAAGTGCAGTCATCCGTTTGCGAACTCTGTTTTCTGTCGACATAATTCCGGGCCTATCACTACTCTGAAACCAAAAAATGAGAAAGATTTTTAAAATATACGGTTGCTGGTATAGCCCATATCAGCAACCGTATAAAAAAAAAACCGTAAAATAAAAGCAATGAAGCCAAGTTTGGAAAAATAACGACTGTATAAAAAAAAATATCGAAAATGAAACTTTTTTAAACTTATAATCATGTTTAAAAAAAAATGAATAAAATAAAATATAACTATATTCGAAATAGGGACGGAAAACTACATGTTAACTGTACATTGTATAAAAATTTCAAGTTATTTGGTTCAGTTTTTGTGTAATTGTATCGACAGTTTAAGAAAATGGTGTTTCCGCATAATAAATCTTGTTCCGCAAGATAAACGCCTTTAAAGTTTTATGTGCACTTTCCATATAGATAGTAACAAATTTATTTTATACTTGGAACATTAATGAATACATTATGAAAATTTCAAGTCCATTGATCCTACCGTTTCTGTTAAAAAAAATTCGTAAAAATAGCCTTGAAAACGTCCTGTCCCGCATGTAATTCACCCCTTGAGGTACTTGTCATGAATTTACCGTCAGTATTTCTCACATACGTGACTAAATGAATTGTAGATCGAGGAGTGGCATCTTCGTGCGGCTAAGTTAAACGACATGTGCAATGCGGTAAATAGATTATTCCAAAGGCTTACGTACTGTAATAACCGCGAGTTGCTGTATGACTTGTACTCGTACGTATGGGATATGAGGGGAGTTGTGTCACTCTTAAATAGTTACGTGAAGTGGCTGGGTAAGTTGCATTTGATTCATATATGAGATATTATCTGATATATTGACAATAGTAGAAAATATACATTGCAGTGAATATTCTCTTGACAAAGAGAAATTCCTCGTTTTTTACGAAAAAAGTTAGGAAATATTAGATTTATAATTTACGCGATAAAGATGGAACTAATATCGGTTCTAGAATAATATCTTACACTATCTTGTGGGTGCATTTACACAAGTTGAAATTGTCGCGAATAATCTCTTCAATTCTACAAAACATTTAGTTAATTGTCGTAATTTTTACACAATATATATTGAAACTTGTCAGATATCAGTAATATGTATATATATATATATATATATATATATATATATGTGTGTGTGTGTATATATACATATATGAATCAAGATAAAAATTAATAGACGTACGTAGTTTTGATATTATTTTTATCATACATTAAAGAAAGTCAATTTGAAATGCTAGTATGCTGGTAGATACAAGAAAATGCACACTGTCAAGTCAATAATATTAATCTTCGTAATGTCAGATATAATATCTAATTGCAACAATGGTTGCATTACAATAATTTCCTACTACAAGCAGTTTTGCTCGTCTTAAAGAGATTACTCTTCTTGATACTACACACCAGCCAATTTAAATTTTAAAATTATATCCACTGTACTACAGACGAGTGCTGTTGTCGACTTCTCACAAAGATATTATAATTTATTTACCTATACTTATATTTCAGAACAAAAGTGTCTTGAGTATCGGTAAGTGAATGTTATCTTACTTTTTGTTGTATAACTTTATCTTTTTACAAGGAAAACTTTTATTTCTTATGATTTGTGTTTGTGTCTATTGTCGTAATAGGACTGAATGTTCGCAAAATACTTGTCTCGCACGATAGTTTAACATTAAGACCTGGATGTTGCATTATATTGTTAATAATTTCAAATGTATGTGCTCAACGTTTAAAACGATTAATTCATACTGTCGAGTAGCGCGATAAATGTGTGTTATATTTCCTTGTAAATCGACGTAATGCAGCGAAACCTTTATATACATATCTACTCTCTAAGATCCGTAAATTACTGATTGTTTGGCAAACGATTTAGCGCAATATTTTGCTTTTATAATGTATCTTACATTATCTGTCGCAGAAAAAGAAACCCACATCTTTTTACCTGGACAGTGATACATGGCATTTTAAAAAGCATCAGACATTTTACAAATTCTTATACATGGCATGCTGTTCCTCTATAGAAAAAAAAATGTTTCAAGAAATAGAGAACCTTGATCGAACATTGTCGGTAAAATTTTTCTACTTTCTATGATTTGCTGTGTAACAGCAATGTATAGTAATGTATGTATAATACTGTATACAATGTAGTTCTTATAAGTCACGTGTACTTTTGATAGTAACGCCTATCAGTAATATTCGGAAATGCGACATATGTCACGACTCGCTCATCCATTATCTCATAACATGCATTTATTTCTGCGCATTAGAAACAAATGCATCGCACTGCGCGCGTAGGGAAAACTTAACCGTAAGTCGGAATCGCGCGAAAACTAACTTGCATAAGCTGTATCTCCACCGGATAATTCGCAGGAAGATGCGCAGGAAAGAAAAGTCATCACACGTATTCTGTTGTGCATACAGAAATTCGCACGGTACATTGATGTTCGAGTTAGAACTTCTACTTGTCTCTCGACCTCAACGTTTTCGTACTCTCGCACAACAAAAGATTCTGACTAACGGCCGATGGTTTATTTTTACTATGATTATATAGGCAAGCCACAACATTTTCCTGTTATTTTATTTTCGACAGAATTTACATTGCTATACAATTAGCGTGTTTCATGTCCTCGAATACTTTGTGTCGGTACTCAGAATGTTGCGCGCATTTGAGTCCAACGGCAACTCGGTCCAATTGGAAATGTAAAACGAACTGATGTGGCTTCCCGATACTGTGGCGGAGTTATGATAATTTTATGAGATGGTATCCAACAGCATTTTTACGGAGGTGAACAAATAGCGGATTTTGAGTAACTTATACCAGCTATTAACATGTCAATCGACTTTCTTTACAGATAACACGAGGCAGGAGTATGTTTCATACGTGGGTCTTGGCACGATGTGATATTGCATACACAATATCGAATTTCTGTGAGTCAAAAATCGATTCACTTCCCGAAGATTCTGACTATTGTTCTGAAAGTATTAGATCATTAAGTATAAAATGTCCGATTTCGAATTCAAAAGTTGGGTTTATTATATCTCAAACTAGAAGTAGAGTACAATTATTCAAAGTATATGCCTAAACTATCGACACAGTTCTGCCATCTTAACGGTAGTTTATTTATGCCAGCAGTGAAAAAATCTGAAGAGCGGGTGACGATGAAATCGCGGAAAGCGTTTTCGACAGCTTGTTGAGAATTGAATATTTTTCCTTGCAAGAAATGGTCCAACGCCTGGAATAAATGGTAGTCAGTTGGTGCAAGGTCTGGTGAATACGGTGGATGACAGAGCATTTCCAAGTCCAGTTCCTGTAATTTAAGCAACGTCGTTCGTGCGACATATGGTCGAGCGTTGTCTCGCAAGAAGATTGATCTGTCTCTATTAACCAATTTCGGCTGCTTAATCGCAAGCATCTTCATCATTTCATCTGGTTGGTCACAGTAGACGTCCGCTATAATCGATTAACCCGGTTTCATAAAGTTGTAGTGGATAATATCAGTGCTGAACCACCAAACAGACTCCATTAACTTTTGTGAATATTCGGTTTCGGACTGTGTTTCGACACTTCATCTATATCCAAGTATTATGCCGAACGCTTGCGATTGTCGAAAAGAATCCATTTTTCATCACACTTAACAATACGATGTAAAAATAGTTCATTTTTATGTCGTAATAGTAAAGAAAGGCAAGCTTCGAGACGATTTCTCTTCTGACGTTCATTTAATTCATGCGGAACCCATCTATCCAGCTTCTTTGTTTTGCCGGTTTGTTTCAAGTAGTCCAATATTGTTGGGATAGTAACGTTAAATCTTGCTACTAATTATGCTCATGCATAATTTGAGATATATCCGCTTCCACTATAGCTTTCAGCTCATCATTATCCACCTTGTTGGTTTCTGGTCGCTCACGTGGCTTATTTTCAAGATTAAAGTCGCCAGAACGAAACTTCTCAAACCATCGACATACCGTGCGTTCATTAGCCACATCTTCACCAAACATTTTGTTGATATTTTGAGTTGCCTGCGCTGCATTGGTTCCACGACGGAACTCATATTCGACAATAACACGAATTGTTTACTCATTTATGGTTACACAAAAATTGCAGTAATAAAGACAATTTAGAAGATAATCACAAACTAAAACATGCATTTGAAAGAGTGATGATTTGAAAGAGTGACTTTCACAACAAAAAAACCATGAACTGTAAAAGTGAAATGTCAGAGATATCGACTGTCGAGTTTTAGTACTTAAGGAAATCGGACATTTCATATTTAACGGCCTAATATATTGCGCCGTGCCTAGTTATACGTTGCAATGAAAACTTGCATGACACAAGACTGGTAACAAGCATCCTCCTGCCGGAATATGTAAACTATCAGGATCGTTATAGCTCTGACTCATTAACTAACTCGTATTTCTGTGTTTTTTTGTCTTGTTGATAGCGTTTGGCAGATTCCCGTCGACGATGACCACCTTTACCCAGGGCAGCTACACATGTATGCGATTCAACAGTCCTTGAGTAAAACCAGCAGCAAGCGCGCGAAATAACAAAGTTTCAAACATTGCAGTGATAGTTGATGCATTTCTGAGTCTTTGTTTGGGACTTTGCGAAAGAGAAAGAATCTCGTTTAAAGCGAACGAGAAATGCGCGCGTAGAAAAGCAGCGTTGCAATAGCTCAGAGAAAAGAAAGAAAGAAAGAAAAATCAATGTGTAGTCAAAGCACATTTATTTTTACGTTCTCTTACATGATGGACGTATTTCTCATAAACCGATCAGAATTGTGTCTCTATCTTCGATTTCGTTATTTTACGCGTATAAATAGTGAAAAAATTCGATATGACATGCGCTATATACAGTTTCCTTTTGCAGTATATTGTATGTATCGTGATAGCTCCCGGCGTTAGTCCCATCATCGGTAATCCGATTTATTAATTTTTCACATTTATGCAACAAACAGCTCATATTGGCATAACTACGTCATGTGCAATCGATTGTAAAAAAAAAAACTAGCAATTTTATGTGTTTCAGGGGCGTAGACCGAATTAATCTAACATGTTAATTTCTGTGAAATATGTCCATCGAAGAATCAGGTAGAATTGGCACGGTATAGCAAACAGGAAGTCATAAACTCTTGAACGTTTCCCATCTGCAAACTCTTGATCATTTGCGATAAAAAAGAACTGTTTCGGCCTCTTTAACTTTCCACCGCGTCATGAATTAAGAACGACACATAAAAGAGATATTTGCTCTTCTTTATCCTAAATGATCAATAATATCCTCCTTTTGCCAACTTGCCTTCACTAATTTATTTTACTTAGTTTCAGAAACTATATTCCTTCCAGGCGTGATGAAAATTTTATTTCAGGCGCATATTGGCAAACTGGACTATAATTCCATTCCTCCTGTTCCTCGATCCAGTGCTTCAAGAGTTTAGTATTGCGCGAGCTTTGGTGCAGCATACCTAACGCTTATTTCCTTTTTCCTATTTGCTATTGTTTAATTTATTTCAAATGAGGCAAATTATTTGGACAATTAGAGAAAGAGAAAGAATCTCTCGGAATGTAATATCACACAGTCTCGGATTTTATATCATATATTATCAAATACCTCCATGAAACGTCTCTATAAAAATTTATCCTCATCTTTACCGTTTCAAGTCTGTGAAATTGGTGCACCTTAGTTGTCCGATCGGATGTGGATCTTTCTCTCATGCTGTTATTATATGAAGCGGAAAGCGTGTTCAAACACAAAGAAGAGAAAAAGATACATCTGTCCAATCGTATTGTATCTTTGCATGTTAAGAAGATTTAAGCAAAATTGATGCCCAGAGCAGTGGAGGCCAATTGAAATCAAATTACATATGGATAAAGCGCGCGCAAATTTGACTCAAACGTTTCGTGATTTATTAAAAAACTGGTCCTGCCTCTTGGCACAGGGTTCTCGAATGGTTGGAAAGAAACATTTATGAGTGGAGAACAGGAGCCGTGGGTTTTCCGCGGTGGTCTTACAGCTGATTTACAGGTACATATCGTTTACTTATCTCGTTTCACACTTGGTATATTTTTTTCTATTTTTTTTTTTTTTTTATTACAAGAAAACATAAAGAAAGGTGTCACTTTTTTTAGCGATTGATTCCAGTGGATAGTGGTAACGACTTATTTGTTTACAAAGCACCAGAAGTGCCCAGTAGCAAAATATATACAATTCGCCCGTATTTACCGAGCGATGAAGAAGCGGTTTATGCAGTGTGCAATCAGATTAATAACTGTGCATCTTCATCAGCTGTCTCTGACAGGTAAGAATATTCACATATACAGGATGTATAAAAAGTACCGGGACGGCGAAATATTTCAAAAAGTATTTTAGTAAAAAATGTTTCAGACAAAATTTGTATGGTTTTAAGAAGAAATCAACTATATTATTTTGTTTGCAGGTGGCGCCACTTTCAAGATATTCACTGATTATTAAATTCTTTCTTAAATGGAAACCTCAATTTTTTATTATATCATCTTTCTCTGCCAATTAATTTGAACAACTTTTGTCTCAAATAATTTTTTATTTGCCTAATATTTTTTGAGGTATTTAAGGAAAACTTGGTAACTTTTTCAATATTTAACTTACGATATCTCGCTTTTTGTCGCAAATTTAATGGTACTTAAACTCTTTTACTCTATTTAGTTTCAAGAATATTTTCTTACAATAGCGCCCTGACTTTTATTAATTTGATGATTTTGAAATTTCCAAAGGTCGATAAATTAACAAAAATTGGGACACTATTGTAACAATATATTTTTGAGACCGAATAGAGTAAAAAAGTCTAGTACCATTTTCTCTTCTGAATAATCTGAGATATCGTAAGGCAAATATTGAAAAAGTTTTCCTTAAATATCTCAAAAACATATTAGGCAAATAAAAAAATGTATTTCGGACAAAAGTTGTTGAAATCAATTGGTAAAAAAAGATGATATAATAAAAAATTGGGATTTTCATTTAAGAAAAATGACGGTCAGTAAATATCTCGAAAGTGGCGCTATCTATAAACAAAATAATACAGTTGATTTCTCCTTAAAACCATACAATTTTTGCCTGAAACATTTTTTTTTCTAAAATATTTAGTTTTCGAGATATTTCGTTGTTCCGGTACTTTTTATGCATTCTATATGTGATATATCATTATACGATTTATGACTCCCTCAAATAATCTGTCCTAATTAAATATAACTCTTGTCACATGTTATGAAAAATAATTTGCCACACAGACTTGTTGGAGGTTTTCTAACGCTGAGTCCAGAGTTATGTATGGTTGTTGAGGATGAAAACGGTATAGTAGGTTACGCAGTGGCTACTCTGAATGTAAAATCATACAATCAGAAGATGGTCGTTTCTTGGATCCCCGAATTGCGAATGAAATATCCGTTGGATAACAGCATTAGCGAGTTGCCGCAGAATGTTCAGGTGAGTGATTATTAGCAATAATTTGATAAATATATCAATGTGAGAAATATTATCTTTCATTGTGAGACAAAATCTCCTTATTTTTTGCGAAATATTTTAAATTTGTACACGCTTATCTCTATACTGACGATCTTCAAATGCAAATCGCAGGATGCCATACAGTATTTCCACTCGTTTATTCCGGACGTATCGGAACAACTGTGCAGGCAACATCCGTCGAAACTTATCTGCGCTGTGTTGCCTAGTGTCACGGATCAATCCATTTGTAAACGTTTAATAACCTGTGTCCTTGCGGCTTTAAGAGCAAACGGTAAGTCAAATGATCAAGTGCGACATGTCAATCTCTGTCGAAGTGTTAATTTATCACTATTAATTATTGCAGTTAATTTATTCCAATTAATGTATGTCCCAAGCCTTGCAATCATCATTTGTGTTTTATATTTGAGTTTCGTGTAGATAAGAACGATATATGTTGCAGGCTCCTTCGGAGTACACACGACAATGTCCTCCACGGATAAGGAGTCCCACGAGTTCTACGGCAAATTAGGTTTCGTCGATTTAAACCCGGTGCACGAGGAGCACCCTGGAATAAAAACTATGTGTAGAAGTTTCTAACAAAGAATTAGCGCTCCGGTAATCTTCGTCAATAAGGTATACTTGATTGGACCATCTGCTAAAAAGATAGTTATTTCTTAAAGGAAGTATCATTGATTTTTAGGACACAGAGACTATGTATATGTAATGGAATTGAACACTTTTGTTTTCCAACATCTTTAACATGCAAGCATGTTGAATATGTCAAGTATGCCAACACGATAGAGATTACAAAGTAAACTTACTTTCGTCGCGAAAATATATTTCGATAGGATATCGATAGTATCTAGAGATGTGCGAATCAAAAATTTTTATGTCGAATCGAATCAAATCTCATTTTTTAAATTCGAATTCGAATCGAATCTATGAAATTTCATTCGAATTCGAATCGAATCGAATCATTAAAAAACTTAACATGACTATTAAATGCAAATAATGATGGAAGATGTTAATATGAAAGGGAATATTGATATTGTAATACCATCTTATAATAAAATATATATTTAAATATTTAAAGTAGTTTATAATTAAGTTATTAATTATAAGTTAAGTTAATTACAAGTTAAGGGTTCAAACATACAGGCCCAGATGGCCCGCTTTGTAGCTGATGCACGCAAATGCTAATGTATTTGATTCGTATTCAAATCTTTGCGATTTGAAATTTCTGAATTATTCGTATTCGAATCATAGGGATTCAGATTCGAATCGAATCGAATTACATTAGATTCGATTCGATTTGAATTCGAATAGTTCGCACATCTCTAATATATATACACACAATATAACGTTTCTCACAGTATCGAGACCTTTAGACATATTTGATATGAGTATATATATCTATATATATACACGTGTGTGTGTGTGTGCGTGCGTGCGTGCGTGCGTGCGTGCGTGCGTGCGTGCGTGCGTGCGTGCGTGCATGTGTGTGTACATAATTAATTAAATTTTAATGGTAATATTTCTACATTATATAGGAAAGAGACTATAATATAAGAGTATTTATATATATATATGTATATATATATACAGGGTGTTTGATAGCTGATCATGCAGACGAAAGTTGGAGATAGATTGGGTGTAGCCGAGAAGAAAAGTCATGTATCATAATGTTAAATTGGCAATAGTTATCGAGTTATTAATTAAAACATGTGAGCCAACGAGCACGTAGAGAGCGGAGGGCGACCGCAGTAAGCACATAGACATTTGATATAGGCGGAGCCAGCGAGTGACGGTAGGCGAGCGCGCGCGGCGAGAGGCAACGTAAACAACAAGAGGCGAACGCGCGCGACAAGGAGCGAGCGAGCTTTTTCTTTATAGCTTTTTCCTTATAGCTCGCTCGCTCCTCGTCGTTCGCGCTCGCTCGCTCTTCATCGCGCTCGCTCGCCTTTTGTCGCTTGCGCTCGCTCGCTCCTTGTCGCGCGCGCTCGCCTCTTGTTGTTTACGTTGCCCCTCGCCGCGCGCGCTTGCCTACCGACACTCACTGACTCCGCCTGTATTAAATATCTACGTGCTTACTGCGGCCGCCCTCCGCTCTCTACGCGCTCGTAGGCTCACATGTTTTAATTAATAATTCGGTAACTATTAGCAATTTGACATTATGGAACATGACTTTTCTTCTCGGCTACACCCAATCTATCTCCAACTTTCGTCTGCATGACCAGCTATCAAACACCCTGTATATATATATATATATATATATATATATTAGAGATGTGCAAACTATTCGAATTCGATTCGATTCGAATCTGAATCCCTATGATTCGAATACGAATAACTCGAAAATTTCGAATCGCAGATTCGAATACGAATCAAATACATTAGCGTTTGCGTGCATCAGCTACAAAACGGGCCATCTGGGCCTATATGAATCCTTAACCTGAAATTGACTTAACTTATAATTAATAACTTAATTATAAATTACTTTAATAAATATTTTAATATATATTTTACTTTAAGATGATATTACAATATCAATATTCCCTTTCATATTAAAATCTTCCATCATTATTTGCATGTTTAATAGTCATGTTAAATTTTTTAATGATTCGATTTGATTTCATTTGATCCAATTTGAATTCCAGTGAAATTTCATAGATTCGATTCGAATTCGAATTAAAAAAATGAGATTCGATTCGATTCAACATAAAAATTCTTGATTCGCACATCTCTAATATATATATATATATGTATATATTAGAGATGTGCGAATCAAGAATTTTTAATATATATATATATATATATATATATATATATATATATATGTTATAATATATATTATTATATATATATGTATATTATATCTCTAATATATATATATATATATATATAGTGCAATAACCAGGCAGTTTAATAACACGATATGTTTCTGCTTATTCTTATTTTCTTTTCGAGTGCCATGTTTCTTATGTTAACAGCACTGTAACACTTTAATATAGCAATTTCAGCAGCTCGAGTCATAATTTGAAATTCTTTTTAAACGTTTGTATGCATAAAATTCCAAACAGTGTGCGTTAGAAAGCCATTGTGTGTCTTCATTAATGAATCGTCTAAACTTCTTAATTTATTAAGAACTATTTTCTTATCGAAATCATACAGAATGTCCCAAAAATTACGGGCCACCCTAATAACTCTTCAGTATTGAAGTTTCAAGGAAAATGATCTGAATAAAAGTTGTAGGGATTTAAGTGAGCTACCTTATGATGATCTTGACTTTGACCTTGACCTCTATTTTCATGGTCATTTGAAGGTCAATTTGTGTTTTCTAAATAGGAACCCTTATTTTTTATTACACTGTATTTTTCTACTAGTTAATTTGAGCAACTTTTGTCTAAAACATTTTTTTATTTGTCTAATATTTTTTTAGATATTTGAGGAAAACTTGATAACTTTTTCAATATTTAACTTACGATATCTGGCTAACTATTTGTCGGAAGGAAAAGTAGTACTAGTACTTTCTTGCTTTATTTAGTCTCAAGAATATATTGTTACAATAGCGCTCTGATTTTTGTTGATTTGATGATTTTGAAATTTCCAAAAGTCAATAAGTTAACAAAAGTCAGGGCGCTATTGTAACAATATATTCTTGAGACTAAATAAAGCAAGAGAGTCTAGTACTACTTTTTCTTCCGACAAATAGTTAGCGAAATATCATAAGTTAAATATTGAAAAAGTTATCAAGTTTTTCTCAAATATCTAAAAAAATATTAGACAAATAAAAAAATGTTTTAGACAAAAGTTGTTCAAATTAACTAGTAGAAAAATACAGTGTAATAAAAAATAAGGGTTCCCATTTAAAAAAGTTATCCTTCAAATGATCTTGAAAATAGAGGTCAAGGTCAAAGTCAAGATCATCATAAGGTAGTTCACTTAAATCCTTACAACTTTTATTCAGATTATTTTCCTTAAAACTTCAATACTGAAGAGTTATTAGGGTGGTCCGTTACTTTTGGGACACCCTGTATATACACAATGATGACTGGACGAAATTTTAAAGCGCACTTTATTTTTAGATGCTTATATGATTGTATAATGGATATAAAGATATCTTATGGTGGTACATCTATGAGTCTTACGTGTGTAGTTTAATCTGATACATTATCAGGAATGAATATATCTCATAATAATATTTACTGCTCAGTGACAAACATGTTGAGGTTTTCAACAGTAAGGCCTTCTAAAAAGAGTTTCATATACATGATCTTGCATTTTATAGTCTTTGTTTATGAATCCCTTTCGTTATTGATTGGCTCTAAACTGCAACACATGTGTACATATAGCGCGCTATGTGATATATAACATACCTATTTAAAAAACGAAAAAACACCACTTTATCACAACTCATTACTAGTAATATTGAATACGAGCAAGACGTATCTTAGATTAGCTTCCATACTATATTATATACTAATCATCCGGCATTATATATAAACTTTATATAATGTTAGTTTTTAGACTTTCGCGGCCATTGATACAATCAGGGTGTGTTTCTTCCGGATGGATATCGCGTTGTAATTTAGCTTTGTGCCGACGTTTCGCAAACATTGCAGCTTGCATCATCCGATACTGAGCTCCTAGTATAGTATCGGAGTTCCTAGCCCTGATGATGCAAGCTGCAATGTTTGCGGAGCGGCACAAAGCTGAATTACAACGCGGTATCTATCCGGAAGAAACACGCCCTGATTGTTTATATAATGTTATTTTAACTTTACCAAATTATCAATATGTTCATTGTTATATGCACAAGCTAAATGCATTAGTGTACGAAATGTACAGAATTAAATAGTAATTATTAGGGCCATAAAAAAGATGATTATAACAAAATCTTAAGTTATTTGCCTTATGTCTACTATCGGTTAGTAGTAATTAGTTTTATATCTGATACCGATTACAATAACTCGTACGAACCGTTCGAAATAGTTTTCCTAGAATATAGTACGTATCTTCAGGCATTATTATGAGACTCTGTTGAGTGTCATGTACAAAAGAGAAAAGGAAAAGAAAAATACGTTCGTGGTTATCGTAAACATGTTAGACTTACACGCTAGATTCTACTTCTGTATTTTAGTGGCAATTATTGCTTTTAAGAATTTTTATACCGAATATAGCGATAACCAAGTTCAAGAATTGAATGTACTGGCGAGGATATTGGAAAGAACATGCGAATTCTTATCTAAATTATCTTTATAATCTGTTTAAATATTTCTTCGAGAAACCATCGAAGAATACAATTTTCAATATGAAAGCTCCATTGAACTATAAAAACTAAACGAAAGTCGTTATCTCGTATAATTCACGAGAAAATTATTAGTAACATATTTTTTACGTAACGTTATTTTTTATATGATGTCAAAGGAAAATTTCCGAATGTTATTTTTTATTGCACAAAAAGTTCACGTGATAACGGAAAAAGAGCTTGTCCAATTACCTCGGCATGTGCTATTGAGACTGGGCGTAAAATTAATATTGTAATACATGTGATTAATACTGTTTTATTTAAATAAACAGACTCAAGACTGATGCTAGGTTTTTCTAGGGCTTATTGCGATAAGTGATAAGTAAAAATAAGGGAGTTATTAAAAAGAATTTTTCGGAGAGTTCATTGGAGCTAACGTCATTTCGTTGTATCTTCTTAGATATTGAACCTCCTTTTGAAAATGTGAGAGCTATGAAATAAGACAAAGTAATAACTCGGAATTCTTAAATAATTTAGTATTTTTAATAGAATTTGAAACGAATTAAGTGTACCTTCTTAATCTCGTTTAGAAGACGTTCTTGTTTGGATTTTAGCGTTAATGTTGCTGAAGATTTCGCAATTTCAAATTCTTGCAGAGATCCTATCAATTCTTGAATCTTTTTATTTATGTTTCTGAAATTCAATTTATAATACTTAAAACTACATTCTAGGAAGATGATATTCTTTTTTTTTGTAAAACATGCAATATATACTTTAGACTTACACTGGTGGAACAAATTTTGATTTTTCCTGTTTTCGACTTTCTGCATAATTTCCCTAAATAAAGAATGGATAAGAAACTTTGTTCTTATTGATTCCGACTACTTCAGAATTAAAAGATGCATATTCTTTTATACCGTTTTCTCTGGCCGTTTTTTAATCTCAGGATAATCTTCTATGTCAATTGCGAATGGAATGTCATCTAATAAATAATTATATTTCAAACTGAATTATATATAATATAAAATTTTTTTGCTCTTTATCGTACTGTAAAAGTTAAGTTTAATGTTACATACCTTCGTTTCTTCTCGAAACTTTCTCCATACTTTTACTGAAACTACGCTTGTTACGTCTCCATTCTTTTATAGTATCTGCGTCCCTGTATATTATATAGTGCAGCTTACACGTGCTATTTATAATTAACGAGTACACATTCCGAAAAGAAATGTCTTACTTAACTCTCTGAATTGTCGCCGATTGTGCGTTAAGCAGATCTCTCGCTTTGGAAATCCAGTACAAGCGTTGTTCCATCATGGCGTTTGTCCCTTTACCGCTACATCTAATTGTAAGACGATCGATATTGTTTATTTTTTTTTTACTCGTATAACGTACAAATTTTGATGGAAAATTAAATCGCCTGCATACATTTCCCAAGGAAATTTCCGCATCTTATTCATTAACACCGAGATAATTTTCCAAACACAATAATATAGAGCGCGAGTCTTTCAGTTGCATCGGACGCAGTTGCAACTTCCGCATGTCCTTCGTAACAATATCGAAGGTCAGCTCGGCGTGCTGTGTGTCCCTGCACTTCTTTCTTTCCTCGTTAAACGCGACAGATTTCTCGGGCTTCGCGAGCGTGATGTGCTTCGTCTCGTTACTGATCGTCTTAATTCTGCATTCCCTCTCACGATAATGCCTATACGTTACCAAGCCCGTCACGTTTCGCCTAACGTAACACGATCTCGACGACGGTCCCGTTAGACGCAAAATACCCGCATCGACTTCGACGATCTCTTTCTTAATGCAAGTCTGCCTGACGTCCTGACACGAAGTTATTATCTTTAAAAACGTATGCTGCTCATCGCTGTGTCTTCCGTCAGACGTTTGGTCCGTCTTATTGTCGCACTCGTTCCCCTCTTCCTTCATCTCGATTTCGCGTGGGACAGTAGCGAACTTTTTGGCACACGACGCGCAGAGAGCACCGTCATTACGCATTACCTCGCTCATGGCATTTATCGGATGCTTCAAGATCGTATTAATCCGCGTGTTGTACCTGTTACTAGCTCTATAAGCTCGAGCTCTCTTGCTGACTGAAACACCTTTACACGAATCGCCGATGTCGCTTGTGCCCTTTGATTCCCGTCGTTGAATCTTTGATAACCTACGTAGCTTCTCACGAGGGGACTGATAACACAGAATTGTCGATGGATTTGGTTCTATCTCTCCTGAAATAAAAGTTGATTTGCTTTTAGTTACTTTTATAAGTTAACAGTCAGAGATAATTAATAGCTATACGGAGATAAAAGTTCATTAATTGCACCTTAACCCGTTTTGAACCAGAATGACCTAAATTTTATCTTTTTTTCATTGCAATTATTTTTACTCAAACCGTGGATGGATCTTCTCCAGACAAAGATATCTTATAGTTTTGAGGCATGCTCTTTCAGAATCTGAAGTCCGTTTGTCGCTATCATGTGTCATTTTTACAATATGGCAGCATTAATGCCAAAAAATTAAAAATAAATAAAAAATTATTTTCTTTTATGTCATTTTTCGATATGATCTCATTATGGGATCGTGCTGATGGTTTGGATCTGGTGGCATAATGACTTTAGCTAAAATATGATACTATTCCGATTGAGAAATTCAATATGACGGATTCAATATGGTAACGTTTTCAAGGAATTTTTAAATTTCGTCGTATTTTTCAGATTATTTATTGCTTATTCGTATTTTTACGCTCTAGCAAGGCATTGAACATTTGTATTCTGAACATACATCGTTACATACTAAGAAAAAGTCAAACGAAAATAAAAAATGGCGGCGTTTTTCACGTTTAATTGTTAAATTTCAAATTTTTGCTTCGTTTTTCCATATATTCAATTATGTATGTTGAATTTTTTACGAATTCAAATGTCCCTATCGCAGCTATTGATACAAAAAATAAAACATCATGAAACCAAATGTAACATAGCCTACAAATGCCATAATTAATTAATTTTTGTAAAATTTTTGAAAATGCGATTATATAGTACGATATAGTTTGATTCTCTTTTTTTTCATACTTTTGCGTGCAAGTGAAGGTGCAATGAAAATATTACATAATTTCATGGTGTAACATAACCTCAAAATATTAAACATAATTTACATAACTTTACATTTTTCCTTTGATGTTAGCGGTAAGATATATTTTTCATACTTTCGAAATCTTACTATTTCTCTAATTTCTTTTATTTTCATTATATCAATTTTATATAAAATGCTATTGATTATTCTCATAAAAGTGTCTTCACCTTTACTTTTTGAATTTTTACATTGTCAGCAAAATATTTAAGTTTGTCAAGTATATATGCTACAAAATATTGTTTTGTTTTTTACATAGTGAATCGTAGCACATAAGCGTAAACGGGTAAAACTCGAATTTTTAATAATCATTAAATATAACTAAAACTTGTTTCGAATCAAACTTTTTGCAAAAACTTTCTGTACTTGAAATGTACAGAACAATTACATGTAGTAATATACAGAATATCAACAAAGGTCAACTGAAAATATTTTTCTTTATCTTGCGCTATCTTATTTACTTATATGAATTCAAAATAACTTTTTCGTACTAACTTTTATGCTCAAGATAAGTGAAAATATATTTTATTACTACTCTTCCTGTTCTGTAAAACTTTTCTTTTTTTGATTTTTACTAAATCTAAAGAGTGTAAGTTATAATAAATAATTGTAATATGCCAAAGCGAAAAGCCGCTAAACTTGATAGAAAAAAAAATAAATAAAAATAGGAAACAAAAAATAAATAAAAAACAAAACAAAGCAAAACAGACTCTCTAATATCGTCGACTTCCATGTGGTGAGAGTTGAGCAACGAAACAGTTTACGGCAGACAGACGATAAGTTAAGATTATTTATTTTCAATATTTTAAGGTTATGTTACACCATGAAATTATGTTATATTTTCATTGTACCTTCACTTGCACGCAAAAGTATGAAAAAAAAGAGAATCAAACTATATCGTACTATATAATCGCATTTTCAAAAATTTTACAAAAAATAATTGATTATGGCATTTGTAGGCTATATTATATTTTGGTTTCATGATGTTTTATTTTTTGTATCAATAGCTGCGATAGGGACATTTGAATTCGTAAAAATTCAACATACATAATTGAATATATAGAAAAACGAAGAAAAAATTTGAAATTTAACAATTAAACGTGAAAAACGCCGCCATTTTTTATTTTCGTTTGACTTTTTCTTAGTATGTAACGATATATGTTCAGAATACAAATGTTCAATGCCTTACTAGAGCGTAAAAATACGAGTAAGCAGTAAATAATCTGAAAAATACGACAAAATTTAAAAATTCCTTGAAAACGTTACCATATTGAATCCGCCATATTGAATTTCTCAATCGGAATAGCACCATATTTTAGCTAAAGTCATTATGCCACCAGATCCAAACCATCAGCACGATCCCCTAATGAGATCATATAAAAAAATGACATAAAAGAAAATAATTTTTTATTTTTTTTAATTTTTTGGCATTAATGCCGCCATATTATAAAAATGACACATGATAGCAACAAACGGACTTCAGATTCTGAAAGAACATGCCTCAAAACTATAAGATATCTTTGTCTGGAGAAGATCCATCCACAGCTTGAGTAAAAATAATTGCAATGAAAAAAATACAAAATTTAGGTCATTCTGGTCCGAAACAGGTTAAGTAGGATATATAAACTTTTATATAGGGCGAAGCACCTAAAACAGGCCACTTAAATAACTTTGAAAATATTTAAGATAAAAAAAAATATTAAAATTCAGAATTCAGAAATTGTAAGGTTTCAAGTGACGCATCATATAGCAATTTAGTATGACCTTGAATGGTGTCATCAAGGTTACGGGAAGATCATCCTGAATATTTTTAATGGAAATTCCCAAGTTTTATTACATCATCCTTTCCCGAATAATTTGAACAACTTTTATCTGAAACATTTTCTTATTTATCTAATATTTTTTTGTGATATTTAAAGAAAACTAAGTGGATTTTCCAATATTTAATTTACGATATTTCGTCAACCCTTTGTCGGAAGAAAAAGTAGGGTATTAGGCCTTTTTATTCCCTTTAGTCTTAAGAATATATTGCTACAATAATATCCTAACTGTTGCTAAGTTGATGATTTTGAAATTTTCAAAAAATCATCAAGCTAACAATAGTTAGGGCACTATTGTAACAGTATATTTTTTCCTAATAGAAATCTATTACTGGCTGTAATAAATTGCTCAATGATAATAAGTAATTTCATTACTCGTATGAGTAATTTTATTATTCATACGAGTAATAAAACTACTTATTATCACTGGCCAATTTATTATAGCCAGTAATAAATCTCTAAAAGTTGAGACCAAATAGAGTAAAAAAAGTCCAGTATTACTTTTTCTTCCGGTGAATATTTACCGAGATATCGTAAGCCAAATATTGAAAAGGTTACCAAATTTTTCTTAAGTCTTTCAAGAAATATTAGATAAATAAAAAAATGTCTCAGACAAAAGTTGTTCAAATTAATTAATTAATAGAAAAAGATGATATAATAAAAAATAAGGGTTTCTATTTAACCCTTTGAAGCACAGCGGCACTCTGGAGTGCCACCTTTTTTGTTACATTTTATTATGTTTTTCAGATATAAAACACTATATTTTCTTGCTGTTTTTCGAGTTTTCATTCGAATATTATATTATTAAGTATGTTGTAATGTGTAATTCTTATAAATCGTTTATATAAATAGCTAAATGCAAAAAACAATGTTTTTTGTACAAAAAATTCGTGTCAGAGAGAACAATTATAGCTATATGGATGACAATTGATACCCTGGGGTTTTCGAGGCCGCCGATTACGAATCCGGGGTCAGAATTTCTAAATTCAAAATGACGGATCCAATATGGTGGACAAAAATGTTTACAATCCTTCGATTTCGACAGAAATAGATACATGGAGGTTTTTTGGGTCGCTGACCACGAATTTATTATCAGATTTCCGAAATTCAAAATGGCGGATAAAAACTTTCAAAATTCTTCGCTTTCAACAGAAATAGATATGTGGAGCTTTTCTGGGTCGCTGTTCATGAATCTGTTATCAGATGTCTGAAATTAAAATTTATAATATCATATCAGTTAGCCATTTGAAGTCGCCATATTGGATCCGCCATTTTGAATTTTTTAATTTCGACTCCGTATTTGTCATCTGTAATCGAAAAAACATATATATATATCGAGTTTGATACATATCCATAATATCATATCAAAGTTAGCCATTTGAGCCCGCTATATTGAATCCGCCATGTTGAATTTTAAAATTTTGACTCCAGATTCGTAATCAGCGACCCAGAAAACCCCTATATACACAAACAGTTTCTTTTATTATTGCATGGAAAAATTCGTGCTTCAAAAGGTTAAAAAATTCAAAGTGACCTTGATGATGCTGTTCAAGATTACACAGTCTGTCCCAGATACGATGAGACTGGTTCCATCAAAGTTCTTAGCGCAGCGATACCTATGAGTGAATGATGGTAGGTGAATGTTCTACCCTTCATCTACTTAACCTCAAAATTTGAGCGAATTCGGTTGATATTTCACTGTGGTTTGACATTTTATGTAAAGTCACTTTATGTACGTCGGTCGAAAAACCAACTTTTAAATTGGGTAAAAGTGGTGCAGAAACGTACGAAACGCTAAAAAATGTGTACGGGGATGAATGCATGTCCCGTGCACAGGTTTTCCGTTAGTTTGGCCGATTCCGTGACGGTCGTGAGGACCTTGCAGACGATGACCGAGCACCGCCGCTAAAAACCACTCGCAATGAAGAAAACATCGAGAAAGTCAAAAAAATTTTTCGAAACGACCGCTGTGTGTCTGCCCAGATATTATCTGGGAGTTCTACAACGATTGTGGGCCAGAATTCGACGAGTTCGACCGGAATATCGAGAGCCAGGCAGTTGGTTTTTATTGCACGATAATGCACTATCGCACAAAGCCATCATGGTACGTAAATTCTTGACCAAAAAAGGCATCATTGTTATCGATCATCCACCGTATTCACGTGATTTGGCTCCGTGCGACTTCTGGCTATTTCCCAAACTGAAATTGGCGATGAAAGGAAATCGTTTCGATACCATCCCGGTCATCCAAAAGACTTCGACCGCCATACTAAAGGCCATTCCAGCCGATGAGTATAAAAAATGTTTCGAAAAATTTGTTGAACGTTTCCAGCGCTATATTGACTCAGAAAGAGACTATTTTGAATAAACAAGAATAAAAAATCAAAATAATAAACGCTTTGTATTTTTTTTAGACCAGTCTCATTGGATCTGGGACAGACTGTGTATACTAATATTGCTAAAGTGGTTTAGAGCAGTCGCCCGGCAAGCGAAAGACCCGGGTTCGATTCCCGGTCTAGCGACTACCGCGCTCTCGATATTTTTCTCTCTTCAGAACGAAAATAAGGTGCAGGTCCCAAACGCACGGCGTCCCGTCGCCATCTAGTAGTAGTCGCCCTCCTTCTGTTCAAGATTATACTAATATTGTTATAGTATCGATACGTCACTTATATAAAATCCTACTTCTATTTAACATTTTTTTTCTTTTTTGCATATTTTCAAAGTTATTCAAGTCTTCACTCTGTATAGATTACAGTTCGATGAGAATGCAATGTATGATACAAAAATGACAGATTCTTACGTTCGACGAATGTCACGAGCTCATCCGGATGCAATTTATTCCATTCTGTACGCAAATAACTGAGAATACTCGAACAACCCAGAGCTATAATATTTTTTGGAGGCGTGGCGATAGGATTGTGTGCTGCATTAAGAGTTTTAAGTCTCGGTATCCAGCCTGAAATAAGATCTCTTTATTGTTATTACAAAGGTATAAAGGAGATTGAAAAGTAATTTGTGGAAAATCAGTAACGCAGTCGAAAAAAAACTCAGCCATTGTAAGACGTCACTTACAAAGTTCCAGTGGCAATGTCTCGATTTTATTTCCCTGTAACAAGATAGTCTCCAATGAGGGATGCGATTTTATGGTCGTAGGCAAGCTCTTAAGTCGATTATTTCGGACGTCCAACCATTGCAAACGTGGCAGAAGAAAAAAAAGCTCTTTTGGAAGCTCAAACAGATCGTTATTCTCTAAGTATAACATCTGAACAAAAATTTAGTATTTCACTCAATGTACACAGTAAACAGTATTTACGCATGCAGATTGTTTTACTTTTTCCTCTTTTTTATATCCTTTTTTATATAAAATAAAAACTACTTTTTTATAATACGCTACGTACTTTTATTGTAGGATACTTTTCAATCGTTTCAACGGAGAGGGACGTAAGTCCAGTATTTGTCAAGTCGATAAAAGTGTCATTATACGTCGGAGTCTTTTTTGGCAATGGTGTTAAAAGCGAACTAACTGCATTTGAAGACTCATTCGGTTTTTTCCTCCCCGCTATCGAAGAAACGTCCGAAACATCTTCACTAAGCGAAAGATACGAATCGTTTCCCTCGATATCTTCTGGATCTATCCATGTATGAAAGATAAGGATAATATAATTACAGTGACACATACAGTTTTGTTCAAATAAATAATATACATGTACCAGGATGTCCCATTTTAAATTTAATAATACTAGGTTTGTTTACTCTATTTAGTCTCAACGATATGTTGTTACAATAACGCCCTGACTTTTATTAATTTGATGATTTTGAAATTTCCAAAAGTTGATAAAAAATTGGGATTTCCATTTAAAAAAAATAATCATTAGTGAATATCTCGAAAGTGGCGCCATCTATAAACAAACTGATATAGTTATTTTATGTCCCCCTTAAAACCATATAATTTTTGTTTGAAATATTTTCTGTATCTTCCGTATTTTTCGAGATATTTGCCTGGAGCATTTAAAATGGGACACCCTGTATATATTTTTTTAACAAAATTGTAAATTGAATAGTGATGTTAACGAGTAATTACCAAAATGAAAAAATGGAAATAATTTATATTCATTATTTGCAAATTTTAGGTTTCAAATTATTTGTTACTTTTAGATTTGCCTCGCTATATTATACTTTCTTACTTTTTAATATTCGCTGTATTATCATTTATTAATATTTCAATTGTATTATCATTTATTAATATTATTAATTATAAATATCTAAGATACAAAAAAGAATGTTTGGCATAATTTCAGCAGCATTTACCTAGAGTAGTGGAGATAATCTTGCCGCTAGTAGCGGTAACATCGTGCGTCTCTTCGCCGCAAAAAACAGCCGTATCTTCATAGAAATTGCCCGCTGTATTTGCTTCGAGAATAATGTCGAATCCCGATGATGTTTCATTGACATTTTCGAGCGCTTCCCATTCCAGTGAACGTGAAGATCTCGCCGGAACGGGAATATCGTCTCTGGAATTCTTTTTCTCGCCTTCAAGAACGTCTTCCTGCATATTTATTTTTCTTCCTGAATAATCATACTTGCCTCGATTGTAAAAATAATATTTTGAGTAAGTTATTGTTATCTCTCTCAATTTATTTAACACTGGCTAACGATCGAACAATGATAATTAACAAGAAGAAATTAAAAGCATATTGCATTAACGCAGCACCTGCACTTCCGTTTCCTTGGTCGTGTCATCGTCGTTTGAATCTATCGTAGACTGATGGCCGATCAATGCGTCCACATTATTCTCCATATTACTCATACACTCGTGAATCGATAAAAATGTTGAAGTCTGCGATTTCGTAGAAAATCCATAATATTGGGCAAGAAGATTTTCCGTAAGGTCCGACATGTCAAAGTCGAACAATATATAGAATAGATCTTAACTGAGCGTATTCAAGAAACACGAATATTTGGCTACAACCATAATCGAGTTGTTTACTCGTCACCTAGGCGATTTCTCAGATATCTTTGATTAAGTCCTACTTTACCCAGTCAGTACCATGGAGGTAAGAATATATGGAGGGAGCATATAGGAGAACTATGGGTAAGGAGTGTGATTCCTAAGACGTAAGGGGGATTATGTGTCGCCATCTTAGATAGGAACACTAATTGATTGGTTATTAGTGGAAAAGCGGCATTAGCTAGCAATTCAAATTTATTTAAATATGAAACGAGAACTAATCGATAATGATAATGATAAGATAATAATTTGATTTGTATATAATTTTTTATTTATACACAGTTTATACATAACACATAATATTAACATAAGTATTACCAGCCTGAGAACAGAGTGACTTTATTATAATGTTGTCTTAGAGTTGTTTTTTTACATTTTTTTCCAATGTAAAACAATCTAACACTAAAATATTTTTCACATATACATTTAATCAAATGGACTCTGTGATTAGATAAAGGATTTTGTTCAATGCTGTGATTAATTAATTCCAAAAAAATATTATCATTGTTGACAAAACATGTTAACACTTTAGAAGTCAAGTAATTTATTAATAATTTACCTTGGACATTTTCATTTTCTTTTAATGTAAATCTTAATATAATTTCACATTTTTTGCATACAATATAAACATTAGTAGATGGAAAAATTAAATTACACCTATTTTTAATGTTTATTAAACTAAAAATTCTTTTATCGTTATTAGTAGATTTTAAGGAAGATAAGCAGTTTTCGCATGAAATTATATTGTATAAATATTTTACTACAAATCCTGCAACGTAAGCAATTATTCTTTCAGAAAATTCAGTGATTATTCGCATATCACTAATATAAGAATGGTTTTCTAAAATTTCCGTAACATTATTCCAGTTACAATATTCATTGTCTTGTAATCGATATGTCGGAGTAGAATTATTTATGACATCAATAGAATTTTGTGATGAAATATGTAAAATAGAAATATGTTCTAAAGGAATACAATTACCTGAATTTGTATCTTTTATTTCCGTGTGAATTAATAATTTTTTAAATGCTGATTTAAACTGAATAACTGTTGGGTTATTATTATGCCCACCGTGTGCTCTAATGCAACCAAAGTAGGTTTCCAAGTGATCTTGGCTAAATTTATATGTAGGTATGTACAATAATAATTTTTGCTTTACACATATATCTTCATACATATTTTTCAAATTATGTATACAGATCAAAAACCCAATAAAGCCAGTTTTTCGAGAACATGTGAGCACACTTTGATATATTGTAGTTTTAGAATTATATAATTTTAATCCATTTATATAATTTGAGCATTCAGTTAATCTCTAAAAAACTTCGTTGCGTTTTCAGCATTTAAAGCTTTTTTAAAATGAAAACCTTTAATACTATGAGAATTAAAAATATCAAATAAATTATTAAAGTTATTAATAAACTTAATCGTAGCATCGCAATCTTCGAATTCGCTTAAATGTAATTCATATTTACATAGCTTTAAAGAATCAGCAACAGATCTGTTAAATAGTTGCGTGGCCAAACGCACTTTCATTTTCTGCCGGATATAGTTAATATGTGCTCCTCGCAATTTATTCCCAAGATGCATTCCTTCTGCTTCTTGATATTCATGTAACTTTTCAAAGTAGTTCCATTGAATTTCACAGTTATGCTCATCCAGTAACACTTTATATCTCCCAATGTGTTTCTCACCAGCTTTAACAAGTGACAAGGATCGAAAAATATATATATCTTTGCTTTAGAATTTGGATGAAGGGAACTTATTTCTGCATTAGGATCAAACGTCGAGAAAGATGGCACGTAGGTTTTCCTTTCTTCTTTCGTATTAGGAGTTTCTACAGGATTATTATATGTTAATTGTATAGCTGCAGTAAAGTTTGATGAAAGACCATCACAAGTAATTGATATAATTTGCATATTTGTATCATGTAATAAGGATAAACATTGCAAAATTAAATTCTGTTTTTGCTCTGATGTAGTGTTATTTATAAAAAAATAACCAACAGGTATTTTCCAATATTGATTATAACACACTACCATAAATACTAAAGCTTCTTTTGCTACTGATGATCTATCAGTATAGTTATTGTTACCAAAATCGACATATCCAACAAATTTTTTCCATCAAATGCAATATGTTGCTTAATAGCCATTTCATCAAATATTATAGCACCAAGTAATTGATATTCGCAAGATGCAGTACGATTCTATACATTGGAAAGCTTCGTTAATAAATCCTGGTTCTGCGGATACCGAACAATACCATTTAGATAGTGTTTTTGGATGTGGTAAACAGGAATTAAATTGTCGAACAAAATTATAGGCCCGTTGTGAATAAAAATGGAGCGATAAAGCAAATGTTCACAATTCAGGAGAATATTATCGGGATACAGACTGCTTCTTAAGGGTTTTCATTTGTCGTTTCAGTAATTCTTGATTGCACTCACCAATATCTACCAGGATCTCCAACTGTTCATCAGTCAACAAATTTTTTTTTCGCAATGTGTCAATTATGTTACTTAATTTAGCAATTCTTTTCCTCGATCGTTTTACCATTAAATTTGAAATTTTTAACTGTTGCTCATAACGTTTAACTTTGTTCTTCCATATTGCACGAATTTCTCTTTTCGTTGGTGAATTAAATATCCGCTCCGGAGATACAAATGTCGATCGAGATACCATAGAAACTTTCTTTTTTATAGGTTCAATAACTATAACAATATAAATTCAAGTTAATACAATTATATATAAACAATACTATTAATATATTTTTTCTATATATAGAAAAATATGGTTTTTTTATAATGTATAAAAAATTCAATACACAAAATTAAAAAATCACAAGCATACTATAATAAGTTAGATAAAACCACTAATTCAGCTTCTAATCATATATATGATATATATATATTAGGTGTGCAACTAAGTTCTCACTATTTTTTTGATGAAAATGCAACTTTATTGTGAAAAAATGGTTACAAATGAATCATTCAAAATATTGCCCATCGCTAGCGACAACTTTTTCCCATCTTTCTGGCAGAGCTCGAATACCGTCACGGTAGAAGTGTTCGTCTTTTGAGGCTATCCACGAATCAAGCCATTTTGAGATGTCTTCGTATGAGCGAAACTGCTGATTAGCCAGACCATGTGCCATCGAACGGAACAAGTAATAATCGGACGGCGCAATATCTGGGGAATATGGCGGGTGGGGTAGGACTTCCCATTTGAGCGTTTCTAAGTAGGTTTTAACGGGTTTGGCAACGTGAGGCCGAGCGTTGTCATGCTATAGAATCACTTTTTCGTGCCTCTGCTCGTATTGTGTCCGCTTTTCGCGCAGTGCTCGGCTCAATCGCATCAATTGAGTTCAATACCGTTCCCCAGTGATGGTTTCGTTCGGTTTCAACAGCTCATAATAAATAACACCGCCCTGGTCCCACCAAATACACAGCAAAACCTTCGCAGCGTGAATATTCGGCCGAGCCGACGACGTAGAAGCATGACCGGGCAGTCCCCATGATTTTGTTCTCTTTGGGTTGCTGTAATGAATCCATTTTTCATCACCCGTAACGATGCGATGAAGAAAACCCTTCCTTTTTTGCCGCTGGAGCAGTTGTTTACAGGCGAAAAAACGACGCTCAACGTCTCTTGGCTTCAAATCATAAGGAACCCAAGTTCCTTGTTTTTTAATCATTACCAACGCATGCAATCGCTTGGAAATGGCTTGGCGGGTAATTCCTAATGTTGAAGCAAGCTCTTTTTGCGTTTGGCACGGATCCTCATCAAGCAATGCCTCCAATTCAGCGTCTTCGAAGGTTTTTGGCCTTCCTTCACGCGAACGGTCGTCAACATCGAAATCACCGTCTTTGAAGCGACGGAACCAATCACGGCACGTTGTTTCACTTAGAGCAGCATCTCCGTAAACTTTTTGAAGTTCTCGATGCGCTTCAGCCGCCGTTTTCTTCGAATGAAAGAAGAAAAGCAACACTTCCCGTAAATGACGATTATTTGGCACAAAATCGGACATTTTCACACAACCAAAAGTATATGACGCAAAAACAAAATCACTAATGTGTCAAAGCGGTTTGTTTACCATATGTCTAAGCTTGGTTCATGACGTTTTGGTTATGTCACAATCGACCAGCACTTACTACTGGAGCCATCTCTTGAAAAACAGCGGGAACTTAGTTGCGCACCTAATATATATACGAGGGTGGTCCGATAAGTACTTAGCCTACAAAAGAAAAACGAAAATTTTGGAAAAGTGGCGATTTATTTCTCAACATAGTCTCCTTTTAGCTCGATACACTTGACCCAGCGATGCTCCAACTTCTTTAACCTGTCTGAAAAATACGTTTTCTCGAGGTCTGCAAAGTAGGCCTCCGTGGCGGCGATGACCTCCTCATTCGACTCAAATTTCTGCCCGGCGAGTGACTTTTTCAAGTTTGGAAACAAAAAGAAGTCGCACGGGGCCAAATCTGGAGAATACGGTGGATGGGGCAGCAGTTCGTAGCCCAATTCGACCAATTTGACCGTGGCGAGGGCAGAGGTGTGAGCCGGTGCGTTGTCATGGTGGAAGAGCACTTTTTTCTTCGCCAAATGGGGCCGTTTTTTCTGCAATTCGGCGTCGAATCGGCCCAATAATTCGGCATAGTACAGCCCTGTGACCGTTTTGCCCTTCTCCAGGTAGTCGATGTAGATCACACCTTGTGAATCCCAGAAAACGGTGGCCATCACCTTTCTGGCCGATAGGACAGTCTTCGCCTTCTTCGGAGCACGTTCGCCGGGTGAAGTCCACTGTTTCGATTATTCCTTGGTCTCTGGTGTGTACTAGTGGATCCATGTTTCGTCGACGGTCACGAAACGACGCCGAAACTCCTTCGGATTGC